AAAAAAAAAAATCAGATAAAAAGCTATGTTGTGGGCACATAGATGTATGCTTAAACATTTATAGCTACTGTATTCAATACTTTTCCACGAAAACCTGAAAAAGTGTGACTAAGAACTCTTTCTTTTCCACCAGTCATCATTGCATCATTGCAGTCTCTGCTTTTGTCCATCATGCTGAAGCTTTTAAACCTAACAGTTCAGTGTCTGTCCATGGTGCTGAAATGCTGAACCTTCATGCTGAAACCAGACCCTCATTTGCTCTTCCCTACATATAGTGAATGAGACTTAATATACTTGCAGGTAGTAAGCCTTCACATTCTCTTTCTTCTTCACATGGCAGTTTTTTTCTAATCCCATCTTAAAATAAATATACAGCTTTCGCAGTAATCGCTGTTGTTTATATTTTATTTGACACATCCATATTTTAATTTTGAATAGGAAACCTAGTTTCCCAGAGTTAGTATTGCCTGTCAAACCATTCACTGCATACATGAATAGTTTTAAATAAAAGCCACCAATCACTGTCTAAGCAGATGTGGCAAAAGTAAACAATACACCAAGGACAGGCGATGATCATGTTGTGATCATTATGCTATTAGAAAACTGTGCATTAAATAAAATAGTTAATTTTTGTAATTGCAAGCTTTAAACAGCTACATTTATACATTTGCATACTCTATGTATGCTGTGTACTCATCAGCAAAACAGTTTTACAGTGCATGTACTGATCCATACAAATGCTTGTAATAGTATTTGGGGTTTTTATTCCCTGGAGTATTAATACCTCAGTAAGGAGCATCAGAGCCAGTGAGAACGTTTACTGAGTGTAGATTTTCCAGGGGAAATCAGACTGCTTGTTAGAGCAGAAAGTGAAGGGAGAGGGAAGTGGAAGTGAAGCGAAGAGAGGAAGGAAAAGCATGCAGGGGAGTCAGGAGTACATAAAAAGTGTCAAAAGAAAATACAGCTTTCTTCCCCCCAGACCTATATATATATATTTTAATGTCTTCTGGAAAGTTTTTCTTTTTTTTAACTTAGAGTTTTTTTCCCTAAGCATGTGAAATGCTAATGCCTTTTACTATCGAAGGACACGATACAGTAAGAACATGCCAAGTTTTTCCTTATCATCAAGTGCTTCATTTTATCGTGTAGAAGTCAGCGTTGTCAGGCATGGACAGAGTAGCACTGCTTTGTACTCCCACCATGCATTTAGCTGCCATGTTGAGTGGCTTTGCTCTGGCTGCTTGTCAATCTGTGGCTCTTAGTGCCAGAACTAAATATGTGATGAGAGAGTGAGATGGACAGTGAGTGAGAGTGAAAGGGACAGAGAGAAAAATAGAAAGAATGAGAACTCCCTTTTGTTTAACCCGTCTCAGCTAATGCACCCCTTACTCCCACCCCCACTTGTAGTTTGTAAATCAGCTCTTTGATGCATCATGCATAGCCCATGACACCCCTATTGTCAGTCATAGCTGCTGTTAATGAGTGCTCTCTTTTCCCGCGTTTGATATTTAGATGTTTAAATGACTCCATTATACGTGGGTGGAAAACACACGGGCTAACAGAAAAGAAGACGGATCTTCTCTGGCTTTAAACCTTAGCTCTCCTGCACTTTGAACAAAAATTTGTATTCCTGTCATTGGTTTGGGTGGAGAGCAAGCCCTGCAATTTCTCATTGGACAGCTGTCAAACGCCACTGCTCCTCTATTAGTGGGTCTGCAAGCTCCAGGATTTGTCACAGTCAGGATAAAGCATTCTTTAAGTTACAGGCAAACACTTTTAAAAAGCACTCAGTCTTCATTTAATAAAATGAATAGGCCATATATTCTTCTGATGTCCTCTTTCATAGCACATTCAGAGCTATTCAGTTGTGTCTCAAGAGAGAAATGCACACAATATTTTGTCATCAATCTTAGGATCAATTATTTGATATGGTGACATTAATTAAAAAAAATGGGATCACAAAACCTGTTTCTCAAGAATGGGGATGGTGAATAGACGCGGCAGATGGATGTAAACCCAACCAAACGCTGAAGTTCCAGATTAGAAAATGTGCTCTGACCCTTCAATTTTTTTTGTTCACTATTTGAAGTGCGTTATTTATGGTGAGAATGGATGCTGTCGAGTCAGATTTATATTGAATTCACTGAATAGTGCCTGTCGGTCTTAAAGTTCAAAGAGCTTTAGAAACAGCCAGCTCTGTTTTCCTTGTCTCTCTGTCAAGCTGTCTGACAGAGATGAGGTTTGAAAAGGACATGGTCAAGGACGACAGGGTAAGGGTGTATCTTAGCAAACACTTTTACTATGCATTGTGCGTGTTCTGGGCAGCGGCTTAGTCATAATCAGACATACTGCCACTTTCTGGTGAAACCAACACACCCATAGTGTCTGATTTATTTGTATGTACCTGGGGATGCAGACCTTGTGGATGAATTGAAGGCAAAGTTATGCAACAGATCTGCCGTATGACAAGCTTTCTTTCCTCCAACACCACAAACAAATATTAAATATGTCTGTAAAGATAAATCGGTGTCTTTTTCAGCATATTGAGAAAGAAGAACTGATGTCAAACTTGTTCTTCTTTGAGTACTTTGTTGTAGCATTGAGCATGATACTCCAGGGGTTGGAGTTCCTAGAGTTCCTCTTAGAGTTTTGACTAGAGGCGTTCATTTTTTCATTTGGTTAAGTGAAATGATACCCAGTTTAGCCTCATTTTTGCCCCAAAAGCCAAAATTTCTGTTTTAATATATATATAAATAATGAGCTTATATTCAGATTATGTACGGATGATCTCATACACTTAAAAGGGTTTAAAGAGGTTTCTCTGCTCTTTGGTCTGTGCAAGAAAAGAAAGAAATTATCGTAAGTATAGCCATCTGAGAGAACCACTACTTGTGTTTCAGACCATATTTTCTAAGGGGCAGCAGGAAGCTGGGAAGCCAAAACACTTTGTCTCAGAAATTGTCGTAGATAAATTGAAGGGCTGCATCAAGGCACAGCATAAGATAAATAAGGAAATGTGAGTTAATGCTACTTTAGTAAAGTCTGAGAATAAAACATGGAGCTGGAAATGAGCATAGTAGATCACCTTTTCCTAGCACTTCTTGAATTATCTATAAAGCAGCAGCTTTTCTTTTATGGTGCCTACAGTACTGTGCAAAGTCTTTGGCCACCCCTCATGTCTTTATATTTTGCTTCCAAGGAGCCAGACTTATAGTTTTTAAAGTTGTCTTAATCAACAGTTATGCAGACTTTCTTAAGGTCTTTAAATTTTTTTCTTCGGTCATTGGCTGCATTTTCACTCACTTTCAGCCCAGTTCCTGTACCTGACCATTTTCAGAGCAATGTTTATTCTTGTCTGTTAAACTACTTAACACTGGGCTACGACTTAATAAGCATTAAAAAGGCACCCAGCTCAAGCGATGAACTAGTGTTGGGTTTACACATTAGACAACTTACTAAGGAACCAAGTTTAAATTGTATCTTTAGGAACTTTTTAAATAATGATACAAAAATACATCATTTGTCCCCATTTCTTTAGTTTAATCTACATAAAAATGCCAACGATTACACATTTTCACAGCCATGAAATAGTGTTTTCTGCACCAACACTGTAATTACTAAATAGCTTTTAGCTGAAAACTTGGCATATTTCAGTATGGTGTTCAGTGTTTCCTTAAAAAATGGACAAGTGGAGGACAAAAGAAACATCTACAAGGCATCAACAGTATCTGAATATTATGTCCTTTAGAAATAGGAAAAAAATCTGGATTTTTGCAATGTACTGTAAATGGTTGTGGTTATAGAATTTTTTAATGATTAGGAATTTAGCATCACAATTGGCAGACCATCCAACTGCCAATACTCCTGTGCAGCCATTCTTATATAATGAAGAAGATCATAACCATGAAATAAAAACATTAAAAAAACAAATTAAATTTGAGCTTGCTCACCTGCCCAAGCTCAGCTTGTGTGACAGCTTCTTGGGTTTAAATGTATGTAAACCTAAGCACAAATGCTGTGCATGCTCATGCTGTGCAGGCTGTCTATGTCTCAAAGGAGCCTATATTTAACAGGAGCTTGCAGATCTGGTGAGAGTTTGTGTTCTTGAGCTGAAACGTTTTTTCAGCCTGCGTGTTTCTGTCTGACTTGTCTTTATTTTTTACTGATAGAAATGATACTGCGGGTGTTAGTGTTCTTTTTTTGGAATTCTGCAATGTATACAATGTACAACAAATGTAACACACGCCGTTGTGTTTCTACAATGTCATACTCTTGGGAGTGGATAGAAAGGAAACAAATGAACCCTAAAACCGTAGACCCTGTGTGCATGTGTCTTTCTTTAAATGGTTTTGTGAAAAGTCCTGGATGATGGATTTTCTTTTTTTTTAAAGTTGTGTCCATGTGTCAACCGTTGTAAATATTCTCTTTGTCCCCGAAGAGGTCACCAAAACTGTCAGCTACTCATTTTCCTTAAGGCCACTAAGCACACGCCAGTCAATATATGTGAATGTCTGGGTGTCTTTGTGTGTGCATATATATGTGTGTGTCTTTATTGGTGTAGGGCAGCTCAGGGTACATTTAGCACTAAGCAAATAGCAGTGGGAGCAGTTTGGTCAGTTGTGATTAGCTGCAGAGAAGCTGAAACATTGAAGGTGACTACAGTGGCACCACTAATGCCTGTGAATGTCACTGAAGCCAGGACACAAAGTTTTAGTCTAAATTTGTGTGCTTGCCTCTGGAAACTTAGTATTCAAAGACATTCCTAAGAGATCTTTTAAGGATTGTAATGTATTTTACAGATAACAGCCAGTTTTTCTCTCTCTCTCTCTCTCTCACACACACATTCACACACACCCTTAATAGATAAGTATTCAAAGCCAGGTAAAAACTGCATTAATCTTTCTCTCTGCTTCAACAGGGGTGATTTACACTTCTGGTATCCTGGACTGTGAGACCAAAGACTCTTACTGGCTGACTGTCTGTGCCATGGACAGAGGGGTTCCACCTCTGTCAGCTTCTGTTGAAGTCTTTATCCAGGTATAGAATCCACTGCCTATTGAATCATTATGTTAAATACATTTACCCACAGACTTTTATAGCATTGAACATAACAAGCAGATAATTTTCCCTTGTAATTTTAAGCCTTAAATGGATGTCCCCAAAGTGCGCTTTTACTAAATACACCTGGTACGTGCTGCTGGTAGCAGTTTGGATGTCCCTTTGCCGTCAGAACTGCCTTATTTCTTGGAGACATAGAATCAACAATGCTCTATTGGACTGAGAGCTGGTGACTGTGCAGGGCATTTGAGTACAGTGAACTCATGTCATGTCCAAGAAACCAGTATGATATGATTTGAGCTTTGTGACATGGCAGAAGATGTGATCACTGTGATCACAAAGGGATCATCATCAGTCATCATCAATACTCAGAAAGACAGTGGTGGTTAAACTATGTGGTGATTAAACTATGCTGTGTTTGACTAAGTGGCCCAAAGGAAATATCTCCAAACCGTGACACCAGCAGTCTAAGCTGTTGATACAAAGCAGGGGCGTATGCTTTCATGTTTTTTAAGCCAAATTCTGACCCTGGTGAGGCCATACGGACTGTAGCCTCAGTTTCTGTTTCTTACATGGCTGGAAGGGCCCCAGTGTGGTCTTCTGCTGCTGTAGTCCATCTGCTTTGGCGTTCAACCTGTTGTGCATTCAGAGATGTTCTTGTATCCTTCTTTGCTGTATGGAGTGGTTATTTGAGTTACTGTTGCCTTCCTGTCAGCATATCATTGTGACCTTGTCTACATGCCTTAATGCATTGAATTGCTGCCATGTTTATGCCATGGCTGATTGGATATTTTCATTAATGAGCAGCTGAATAGATGTACAAAGGGCCAGTGAGTGTAGATACAAAACAAAAAAAACAAAGTTCAAATGATCTTTGTATGCCAAGTGCCATTAGATGACTGGTACAGCAGTCTTAGCCATCACTGAGCTTCTGTAGACAAGAAGTCTACAGGGTAAGATTGTTTTATATTCAAAATAGGGTTTGCCAGTGTGTTACTCCCTTAATTTCACTTCCAGCATATCCAATCATATTTTAATTGAAAGTATACCAGTTTTAGGTCATTTCAAGTTTATCTGTGTATTTATTGTACATGGAAAAATCATATTTAGTTATACGGGGTACAGTTATGCACTTTTTATGTGTAACTTCTCGTTAACTACATTAAAATTATGTCAGGTTATAAGTTTTTCAGCTTTTGTTTCGTAAAAGTAGCTTATTTTTCAAAGGCAGTCACTGATAAAAGTTTACAGTCAGTCAACGTTACCCTCCAGGGTAATTTTGATGTTTATACTATAAAATTCTCGTAAAGCATTACATCCAAACAGTATGATGCCAAACGAGTGTGTTACTCTCTTGGTTTCTGTACTCAGCACTCAGTCTGTAAGCAAGAGATACACTGTACGGGAATTCTCTGCTTCAAGTTTTTTCTAATTTATTTGCCCTTAAGTTTTTCCACCGTCTAAACACTCAAATACACACATGTTTGCTACATCACTGCTCCCCCTTTGGGGAAGAGTTCAGCTGTGTATAAAAGGGAAAAAAAAGACAAGCAGCCTTTTCTGGCTTCAGGATATCCACGTGTGGTTATGTGAGTGGGTGCTTTACTCCCGGCCTATTCATCACATGGGAAAATGGGGAGATTAATCAGGCACAGGTGCTTCTGTTCACCGGCTGAACTGTCTTGGCTCTCTGTGCCTTCCAGCAAATGCTCAATCAACCCACTGCTTGCCATAAATATTCTAGATCTATGCTGTTAGAAGGGAAATTAATTTGGAGTGTGACATCTTTGACATTTTCTGGCAAATATATTTCCATTTTGTGATTGATAACATATCAACCCAGACCCAGACTGATTAACAAAGATACTAAAATCACAACAAAGCAATATTGCAGTGCGTGCAAATTCAGAGGGCTACTATCCATGTATTTGTTGCCATTCCATGATCCAACTCAAATGATGAATATTTATTGCCTTTTTCTCCTCTTTTTCCTTTGTTGTTTCATGTCTTCTTTTCTTCTTTGTCTCTGCTCAGGTAGAAGATGTCAATGATAATGCTCCCCTCACCTCAGATCCTATCTACCACCCGACTATCATGGAAAACTCTCCAAAGGACGTGTCAGTCATTCGTATTCAGGCGCAAGACCCCGATCTCACTGCTATACCCAGTCGTCTGAGTTATCGTATTACTGCCGGCAACCCGCAGAATTTCTTCTCTATTAATCCAAAAACAGGTGAGGTAGTGTGTGATGTGGTACTAGTGGAGTGGAAAGGAATGATGAAAGAAAGAACGGCCACTCATAAATGCGCTTTAGGCATTTCATTAACAAGCTGGGATTAAACAGAACAACAGATATTCCACAGATACGAGCTGTATGACAGAGAACAAAGAAATGAACTGTATCTCGCGTAACAGCATGCAGCTTCCACCTGATATCCTCTGAGCTATTCACATGTTCTATTCACAGCAGTTATATTTGATTGCTTTTGATGATATGTATTTAAATGTTAAGCTGAAAAGGTGTAAAGTTAAAAAAAA